TTACGCTCCATGTCTTTTGACATCGCGCTCTCTACTACTTTCCCCTAAGTTTTCTCCCATGGGCAGTGTGTCTGAGCAATGTGTCAGGATTGATGTTAATCCATGTGCTTCTTTGTTTCCCATGTGGCTTTTAAAAAAAAATTTTAATATCTTCTTTTGACTTTCTTTTAAGGCTGGTGTGTCATTTGGTAACCTAATATGTTTCATGTTTCGACTCCATTTCTCTTGTTTATACATTATATTATTTTCAATTAACATAATCAAAAGTTTTTTTTATTAGTCATTAACAGTACTTCTTTCTTCTTGCAGTGTTCCTTGATGGATTAGGATCTATAAAGCTCTTGCATTCCTTAGTGCACTACCTCCTTGACATAAGTACACTACACTCACTATTATTTATGAAGACACAAACATTGTACTTAAAATCATATCAAATAATATTTTATTGATATATAAACATGATAAAAGTCAAAGAATTGAGAAAATATAAATTTTGCTCAATCTAACATCCTTCAAGAAGGAAACGATACTTATTTAACATCCAACTCTTTTGGCTTCTTGTATACATATACTTGTGGTTATTAAGACCATGAAGATACAAAAATATGTAAGATTAGCTTGCTATGTTACTTCTCACATATTACAATATTCCCATGCATGTTTTTAATAACTCGCATTGAAATACAGAAAAAAAAAACCATATTTATAGTGGCTATCTAACGACCTGTCATATTTTTGTTTTTGGCTGTAATTCAAAGAATTCATCGGTCTACAGATCTCTTTTTATAAAACTTGCTGCCTAATTGAGGCATGTTGTGGCAAAATGGCTAAATTGTAGCAAAAATTGAAATTCAAGTTATTGGTATTTTCAAATACCTGAGTATGTGATCTTTAAAATGAGGGGTCATTCATTCAGATATATATCAGTTTAATGAAAAAAATTATGGTATCATATGTTAGAACAGATTGATAGTAATTAAAACTGATAGATGGACTATTAAATTTATAAATTCGACGTCAGATTGAAATTTTCTCTAAAGGGCGGGAGAGTTCTAAATATTTAAATAAGTTACTAACTTCGGAAAAAAAAATGTTTTCGTTGATTTAACAGGCGTTTTAATACAAAAACGTGTTGGTTACCAGCAGTGGCATACGGAGGAGGCGCATGCCCCCTAAAATGCTTGTATGCCTATCCTATTTCCTATATTTTCCAAGTGAAAGGGAAATAAAATAGAAAAAAAAAACATGGGACGTTATAAATTGTTTAAAAGTTTAAGTATGTTAAATGTATACGATCTAAATAAAGTACAAGTTGCATGCTTTATGCTCAAATATTATATTCAAGAACTCCCATCTCCAATTGAAAAATTATTGATTCAAAAACAAAATCCGATCGCGCAAATACATTACGAAACGTTAACAAGATGTGCATCCCACCCAATAGACTTGACATAAGTAAAAGATCAATATTTATCGAAGGCCCACATTATTGGAACAAACTACTAACCGCCCTTCAACCAGGTAAAATGACATCTCAACATTAAAAAGAAATATTAAAAAGATGATATTTGAAACACATTAAATTAGTATTAGTTAAAATTTATTTTTTTTTATTTATCATTATATTTACGGTTAAATTGTATAATTTAATAGTTTACCTGTTTTCAGGTTATGGTTGGCAGTACCTGATAGCCCCCAGTCCATTCTGAGTTATGAAAATGCAGGTGGGTATAGCCCCACAGACTCTGCCTGGGTAAACAACAGTTGAGTATTTCGTTGTATCTTTTTATTTTCAAGCATATTTGTGTATTCAATGTAGGCCTAACCGTAAAATTATGTATGCTTTCAGCTGACAAGCAATCCCTTCTTTTGGAACATATTGTTATGTTTTTGTCAATAAAGTTAATTTGGAATTTTTGCCTTTTCTTTCAAAAACTAAATTAAATTGGTAATTAATATTTTCAAATTAGCAGTTCCAATGAGGCACATTTGTGCATTTTTTCTCATGAGTCCGATTTTTCGATTGGATAGGTAATAAAAGTTATTTTATTTACCGCCGTATACAAAGCGATATACAACATTACAGACAGCTGCAAAACAACATTACGGTATGTTGTAGAACTGATTTTTCTAAGACATAAAAAAGTTGTTTAACGAAAAAATGGGGAACGGTGAATTAGAAACTGGGTGGGGGGAAAAGGGCGTAATCGCCCGTTTTTACACTCTTGTCCCCCAACTTTTAAATATTCAAAAATCTGTATCTCATTCACCGTTCTCCAGTTTTTCGTCAAACAACTTTTTTCTGTCTTAGAAATCAGTTCTACAGGCCTATCAAAAAATTGTTTTCTTCCGGGGTCTGACTTTAACAGACAGTATGGGCATGTTAAAGAAATAAAAAAAAAAATGACGGCCATATGCCTGATGTTTCTCCTGACGCAAATCCAGTTATTGTCTATTATTCCATCACGACAATAACAATTACTTTCTTTGTTTTTGTTTGTTTTTGTTTTTTTCAAATGGCTCATCCCGAATCATAATTTTTAGTGCTGAACTAAAAAAAATCACTTGTATTAAATTTTCATGTCATGTCCTAGGGCATATTAATTTGAATACGTTCACAATGTTTTTTACACTCTGTTTAAGTCGGGTGTAGCCTATACATGCAAGCAATATACTTACCTTAATCAATTAGACTTTGCGTACATATCCTTATTAATTTCTAGGTAACTGGGCAACTGTAAAATAGTGATTACCTCAGTTGGCTTAAATTGTGGTAGCGTGTAGGCCTACCGTATGTGCTGAATTTAGATAATTGTAAACCATCCTGAACAGACCTTTAGTCGTTGGTCCGTCCCAAAGTTGTCATAGGCCTTTCCCTTGGAAGTCAGGCTATGGAGGCCAAACAAAAATTTATATGTTGTACAAGTGATTTTTCTAAGAGACTAAAAGGGTGTTTACACTGGGGAAAATGTGAAAAAAAAGGGGTGGTTACGCCCCATCCCCCCATTTTTAAATATTAAAATAAATTTTTCTCCAGAGCCTTGCCTGAGGCAACACAACACCGAATAACCAATGTGTCATGACACATGCAGTGGCACTGCCATCGTTGAAGCGGTGGCTGACAAGGGGTCCAACATATGTCCAACGGGGGTTCATGAGGAAAGTTTTGATGGCTTACCATGGTCAAAATTGTGCTTTTAGACTTCAATTTAGGAATGCGTATTTAGATTTGTAATAGGCAAATTATAATTTTGTTTATTTCTGATCAGACAACATTGCTGTGGCGTCCGACGACAGGGGGTCCAGGCCTGTCTGACTGGTGGGGACACCCTGCTATCCCCCTTCCCCTCGTGCCACCCCTTGCATCGCATAAACTAGGTTTTTAATTTGCACATGCCGGTATTCGCTGGTTAAAAATTAGAAGACAATATATTAAGTTTCAAATCAACAAACATAATTATAAATAACCAGCGGCGGCGGCGCCAGGAGTTCACCGACAAGGGGGCCCAAGCTCCCCGACAAGGAGTCCACACCCTTAACCCCTCTCCCGGTCGGGAGAATTTAAATTTGTCGGCGAATTTTTTTCTTAAAAAAAATTTTTGTGTTAATTATGGGATTCTTCATTTAAAAAGGATAATAATAAGAAACCATGCAAGTTAAGAGTCCCCCTGTCGAGGGTACTAGTCCCACTGTAGGGATACTAACACACTGTCGGAGGTACCGTCCCCTTGTTGGGGAAGAGCTTGTGCCACCACTGCAACTCATACGATCGCATAGTATACAACACCTCGCACATATGGTAGCACTGTGCGCAATAAGTTTTTAATCCCTATAAAATTTGACAGCTTAGTAAGGCATGCTTGAATTGTGCATTTACGCTCCATGTCTTTTGACATCGCGCTCTCTACTACTTTCCCCTAAGTTTTCTGCCATGGGCAGTGTGTCTGAGCAATGTGTCAGGATTGATGTTAATCCATCTGCTTCTTTGTTTCCCATGTGGCTTTTAAAAAAAAAATTTTAATATCTTCTTTTGACTTTCTTTTAAGGCTATTCTCGCTGGTGTGTCATTTGGTAACCTAATATATTTCATGTTTCGACTCCATTTCTCTTGTTTATACGTTATATTATTTTCAATTAACATAGATCAGAAGTTTTTTTTATTAGTCATTAACAGTACTTCTTTCTTCTTGCAGTGTTCCTTGATGGATTAGGATCTATAAAGCTCTTGCATTCCTTAGTGCACTACCTCCTTGACATAAGTACACTACACTCACTATTATTTATGAAGACACAAACATTGTACTTAAAATCATATCAAATAATATTTTATTGATATATAAACATGATAAAAGTCAAAGAATTGAGAAAATATAAATTTTGCTCAATCTAACATCCTTCAAGAAGGAAAAGATACTTATTTAACATCCAACTCTTTTGGCTTCTTGTATACATATACTTGTGGTTATTAAGACCATGAAGATACAAAAATATGTAAGATTAGCTTGCTATGTTATTTCTCACATATTACCATATTCCCATGCATGTTTTTAAAAACTCGCATTGAAAAAAAACCCCCATATTTATAGTGGCTATCTAACGACCTGTCATATTCTTGTTTTTGGCTGTAATTCAAAGAATTCATCGGTCTACAGAGCTCTTTTTATAAAACTTGCTGCCTAATTGAGGCATGTTGTGGCAAAATGGCTAAGTTGTAGCAAAAATTGAGATTCAAGTTATTGGTATTTTCAAATACCTGAGTATGTGATCTTTAAAATGAGGGGTCATTCATTCAAATTGGACATTTCAAACCAAAGTTATTGGAAAGTGAAAGTACAGTACTCTTAGAGTCAAGATAAACAGGATTTTGAGTAAATGCCTTTCAAAGGTATTTGTGCATACATTGTTTAATATAATGAACTATGAAAAATAACGTTAAATAAACAATTTGTTAACCACTTCCAGAACTAATACTTTGAGACATGATTAATAAGACATTAAACTGTTGACCTATAGTAAAAAATAAATTTGGATTTTTTAGCAATTTTTTGAGCTCCCATATTTTATAGCTCATTTACTCAATACTGGACTGTGCGACAACTTTACCATTTCGCCACAACATGCCTCAATTTAGACCAAGGCTACTTATGCATTTACTAACCAGTGATGTGTTTGTGACAGACGGTAGTAAAAAACATCCAGGTTTTGACAGTATTGGAACTAAGGAATGGGAACAGAAGGCACGGAAGTAAGCCATAGCTCTGCTGTCACCTCTATTTTCACGGGGTTGACAATCTGCTGATATTTTTTGGATCTAATGAAGAAGTGTGCAGCACAAAGTAGAAACAGGCGTCCCAGGGGTTTCCCGGAAATCGAGAAGGCCTCTTATGAGCAAGCGAGAATCTCAAATATAATAGATGTGATAAGAAAGTAAATTTAAACAGATCTCCCACATGTGGATTTTTCCAACTTGGAACCCTGGTAGAAATAGGTTTAGAAAAAGCAGTCCCCTTCCCAGTTGTATTCAAATATTGTTCTTTAATTCCTGCCTAAGAAAACTTGCCCTGACAATAAAGAGATGGTTAATAAAACATTGAAAATCCTCAGGTATGCCAGCAGTTAGAATCGAAAGTACAGTGTGACAAATCGTAAGTCACATTAAAAACATATAAAAAAATAATAGCACCATTTTTTGTATTGCATTGAATATTTTAAGAAAGTAAATCTATTATCTAAAAATAAAACCACTAAATAATAAATACAAATTTTTAAATAAAAAGAAAATACATATTCAAATTCAGAAGCTGCACTTCAGCAATTAGGAGTGTAAGAAAGACGTGATAAAAATCTAAAATATTTAGACAATAATAGTCCATGTACAGAATAAAAATGCACCAGTTTATATTGTTCAAAGAAAATTATTTCATATAACTTGATATATAAAGAATATGATAAGTACTTTTGCAGTGAGGCTTACAATTTGCCAAAGTACTGATGTATATCTTCACATCCACAAATTAACTTACATTAAAGCCAAGCACACAATACGCCGATGATTTTCATTCAACAGAGTGTGCGCCCCCCGCAGCTTGAAAGATCTGATGAAGTCTTCATTAGAAAAGTTAAAATATTAACATGAGAATAAAAACAGCAAAATACTGTAAAAGTGGAAATGTTATATTTCAAAAAGTTACATCAGAAGCAGATCCAGAATTTTTAAAATGAGGGGGCACTAATTTCATATAAGCATAAAATAGTATATAATATATGATTCATGTGCTGTTATGAAATATTGTAACATTAAGTATTTGTATGCCATTTGTATTTTTTCTGTTAAAAATGAAAGACGGCAATGAAAAAACGAGGCACATGCCTCCGTGCCACCTCCCTAAATCTGCTCCTGAAGATAAAAATGCCAGAAAACCTATTCAATTAAAAGAAAAAATAAAATGCCTTTTCACTTTTACAGTACCAAAGAAGGAATATATCTCAGATTTCATGATATAAGCTGAATTTCCATTTCTGTGTTGCGCTTTCAACGCATGTGTTCATGACGGCCAGCACCGGTGAGCTTCCTTTGACGAAGCTCATACAGAGTCCGCTGCCTTTGTGTAACAGCCAGCCAGGCTATAGGATAGAAGGGAAAAAAAGATATCATTAGAACAACTGTATTATTATAACAAAAACTATATGTACTGTTTTATCTGTTGTGGGCAAGCAGATTTTTGGTTCTCTGATCTCCGCTGGATCTAATTTTCTTAAATGAATTATATTTTGCTTAATTCTACTATATGAGGAGCAGAAGAATGGATCTTTGAGCTAAGCCTCGCGGCTTTGATATATATTTGCTAAGGTTCCACAAAACAATGTTGTAACTGTAAAGACGGTCACCCACTGCTTCATATGACGGCCGTACAACCGTCGCATAACGAATCCAATTCCACTCTCTTTGAACGCCAGACCATGCGACTTCGTCGGATGATTGTTAGTTGGTCGTTTGAATGGATCGTCATTAAAACAATCCATTGAGCACATGTCGTTGTGTTGCATTCTTCATAGAATCGCGTCAGCTGATTGACACTCCAGAAAAATCAATTGGAAAAAAAAGAATAATAGAGAACATCATCATATAAGTTTTTTCTGATCCTCAATTTTGAAAGGTTAAGTATCTTTACCACCAAGCAATTCTTTACCTCTGAATGTATCCAGGACTGATGACTACCAGATCTTGAGCATTCAGCTAGTCGTGGCTGAACGCCACTTCGGTACTTGCTGACGGGAACCTCAATGCAAATGTTATTCCACTTAAGTTCACCACGGGAGGAAACACTAAACACCTGTGATGAAAATGAATGAACATTAAGTGTGTATTGTTTGTAGGTTTGCATGGCGAAGTAATAATATATATCAATGCTTGAGGTACACCACGTAGATAGTTCGGAAAAGAACTGTTGTTGGTTGAGAATGTCTCAACGTTTTGATTGATTTGCTTCAATCGTCTTCAGGAAAATAATATACGTCGGCTACATTCAATGCAAAATCTACTGTTTCATTGTCATATGAAAAATATTTATAGAGACTAGTTGTATTAATCACCTTATATAGCTTTCTCAAACATTTGCAGTTGGCCAGTACGGAGGTTTAATGGTTTCAGGACTGAATAAAAGCTGAATATTTAAATTTAGATAGTAATGGTTTCAGGACTGAATAAAAGCTGAATATTTAAATTTAGATAGTAATTATTTTTGCAACATACTCCTTGATGTTGAAGTATTGTGTTCAGTAAATTACAATACACCCAGCATAAACAATGTGGCTCTACCAAAAATTTGTATAAAATGTTCTGGTTAGTTGAATTAAAATACTTTCTGAATACTTCATTCTTTAATTGGCTGTTTACGTTTACGAAGGTACATCCTGCAAAGAACCCCAGGATCCATAACCGCAGGACAACAGGAGCAGTATGGACCAGTAAATCGGGGAAACTCCCTTCTTGTCTCGAAAGATGTGCAGGGTTCTTCAAAGTGCACATGAGCCAATTGCGTTCACTGGGCCTACGGTTTATAGTTGTTATCCGAGAAGACTTTTCTTGCCACCAGAACCATAGGCGTGCTAGGCGAGCGTGCTGCTTGAACCAGTGCCAATATTATGAATTTATGTTGTGGCAGCCCAGCCTTTAACCGCTCGGCCATTCAACACACTGTAATTGAGTGCATAGCCTCATTTTATATCAGGATGCGACTATTCATTATTAAAGTGTGCAGAACCATTTTTTTTTTGCAATTTATTATTTTTTTGCAATGTAAATTAGAACCTTTTTTTTTTTGCAATTTATTATTTTTTTGCAATGTAAATTTGCAAAGTTGTTTTTTTAAAACGCTCTCACCTGGGTTAGACTGGCTCGATCACATGTATTCAAATACAAAGAAGAGCCTGCTGTATGTGAATAAGTATCCAAACAAAGACCTAGTCCTGTTTCTTGATTGAAAACCTGTTAAAAAAAAAAAAACACTTTACATTATATATTAAAATAGAATATGCTCATAATTAAAAAAAAAAGCAATCACAAATTAATTAATTTAGTCTATATATAGTACATAATGTTCTATTTTTTCCCCCACTGAAATAAATCTGGTAGTACCTTCTACTTTAATTTTAGTTAAAAATTTAATCCAATCACAGACAAGGAAAAGGAATAGATAAAGATAATCCTTATTACCTGTCCGAATGCCTTCATTGTATTACTTGAGAGCAGAGGGTAAGGATACACTGTCTTCAGGTACCAATCAAAGTTCTTGCACTTTAAGCCTTTCTTAAGAGCCTGACGTACAGCTAAGCTACCATATGACTTATCCTGTGAAACAGAATAAGCACCAAAAATACAAGTTAAAATACTGAGCAAGTTACACAGGTACCTACACCATGACAATTGTACTCCAGAGTTGAAGAGGAACAATCAATTTGTAATAGCAACTAAACACAGTAATTGGCATGGTCTGAAGATATGTCTGTATTGGACAATCTTTAATTAATTAAGTAATAATAAAACCAACTAGAAACAAATTTATTAATTATAGCTATGAGCAATGTATTTGACATTCTTTGTTTAATTAAGAAATAATCAATCCAGCTAGAAATAATTTAATTAATCATAGCAACAGGCCTATTTCAGATTCGTATTTCAAAAACATTAGAAACATTGTTTTCAATAGAAAACATAATCAGTTATAGATCTGAAATATTATCATATCAGTCAAGATATATTAGTAATAATTACTATAAATAAAATGTTAATGATAAGAGCAGGGGTCCCAAGTTAAAGTAGTCCATTCAAATTTTGTGTCAGGAACCATTGGCTGTCTGAAAATACAGGGCGTCGCGTTGCAGCCAATACACAACTACTCATAATATCAAATACTTGAAATTCAATGATCAAACAAACAGTTAAACTGCTCTTGCTTTCATTTTTATTTACACAATGTAAATAATTACCATGAAATTACATAAATTGCCCTTTTTCTGGAATCTACTACTCTGTACAGTAAGCCTAGTCTACATTATTCGTTAATTTCCACTTCAGGCTGAGGCCTACATCAATATCATTAATTACATAATTTTACACTTCTTTCTGGCATCTGTTAGTTTAATATTGTATTCCAAGGGCATGTGCTTTAGATATCACACATTTCTGCAGGCGTGGTCAGGCTGAGCAACACAAGCATGGGGCACATCCTTTCATAATAAACAAAAGATTATATTTTGGTTCCGTGTTTTCAGCAGCTACCGTAATTAATTGCAAATGCATTATGAACAGTGATGGTAGGGGAGTGGAACAAACTTATTTGTCACTGTTTACGATTGTTTTTTAACATCATGAGTCATGTTTTTACCTAGGCCTAAGCTAGGGCTGATATTAAAAATTAATCATTTAGATTTACAAAAATTTACGGGAGGATTTTTTTTATGCGGTAGAAAAACGTAGGCTTATGGTAGCACGGTAGATCGTCGCTAAAAACAATAGACTACCACAAGTAGTGGTAGACTTGGGACGTCTGTAAGGGCTATAAATCAAAGCATATATAATTATAGCTATAAATAGGAACATTTGTAATCAGCTATAAATAGAAACATTCATAATTATACCAGGATTGATTTTGGTACGGTGCTTAGGAACTTGACTTTGAAGCCATCCATCCACAGCTCAGCTGTTCGCATTGAGTTACGGATGAAGCCCTCCTGCATTCCATTAGGATATGAATACTGTTGAACGCCACGGAAAAGATGGAAGATACGGGAACACGGAACAACTTCTATGCTACCACCACACATCCATGTCTAAATAACGATTAAAATAGATGAGTCAGACAACATTTTTGGAAGCTTTCGCCAATGTTGCAGCTTCTTCTTTGTAGTTGTATTATATTTTTTAAATGGCTAAATGAATATCATAAATAAATTACCAAATTGGTATCAATGGTAAGATTTAAGTCATAAGTGCCTTTGGGCTGCAAAAGGTAGCAGTTCCAGGTGAGCACAAAATAAAACTGAGTCCCCAGTAATTTTTTTTTTTACATATGTAAATATTCTGAACAAAAACACATTTACATAGCAGCAAATTCTGAATTGCGTATGCACATCTAACAATTAATGATATTTTATATAACTCCACTTTAAAGCTTCGTGTAGACTATCAAATTTTCTTTGACAAAACACTGTTGTATATAGTGCCCATATATGGTCATGATGTGATGTCATCATGGCCATAATTGTCATATGTTTCTCTAAAAAAAAATGTGATGGTATGGACCGGGCCTTAAAATACAAACAAATATCAACACATACACTCCACACAAACATTCCCATTGCCACATACTTAAAAAAATGCAGTAAGAGATATATCATTATAATGTAACATAATTTTGTCAAATGAACAAGGTGACAGAAGTTAAGTGTGATTTTGCCTAACCAGCCATTTATGAAATTTGACGTGTTAGGTATCATTCATATATACATACTTCAGTGTACAATAACACTGAGTTTTTGCAACAGGTCGAGAGGCAGTGGATGCTGTCAATTTTTTTTCTAATACAGCAAATGTTATAATTTTCCAACAACAGTGATCCTGCAGTGAGCATGCACAAGAGCATCTTACAAGCGTTTTTCATTGTATCTTATCTTAACTGTAAGGCAGTGGCTATTTTTACACCAGTCTTATTCATTTTATCTTATCTTAACTGTAAGGCAGTGGCTATTTTTACACCAGTCTTAAACAAATTCTCAATTCTGATTGGAATCCATATATATCAAAAAATTCAATCAAAATTAGGAATTCATATAAAGTATGGTGTAATAATACTGTAGCCAATGTCTAATTGTAATCGTAAAAGAACTAATTTAAAGTAAAATCCATAAAAATTGTGTAAGCCTTTTTAAATTTAATGTCAATTTGGAAATCATATTTTGACCCTTTTCTAGTCAGAGTTGTGGAAGAGGGGGGAGGGGGTCTGTCCAAAGAGGGGCTTGATTCCCCTGCCCTCACTAGCACCGCCACTGCATTTTTCATTTAATATAATACATTTTTATTTAATAAATTTTGAAATATTGGAAAAAATATGTTTTTATTGCCTACCCTGAAGGAGAGTTCAATGTTTTCTGCACCCCAACCATCCATTCCAGCATCAAACATGCCAATGTGTTCAAAAAACTTCTTATGCACTGCAAAGGTTGTCTCCATAATGACAGCAGTTCTGAAATACAAATGCTCAAACTGAAGTCTCTAAGCCTTTTGATATTGATTCATTTATTTATTAAAAATTTGACAATATTGTCCAAGAGGGATCCATGGGCCGAGGGCCCAACACAAAGTGGGAACCTCTTGACATAAGATAGAAACAATGTACAATATGTAAAATCAGTACAGGAAACCATAGATGTTTTTTTAAAAAAATTTTTTAAGCTTTATATTATAATAATTATTATTAAATTATTAAAATAATAATAATAATAAAAATAATAACAATAACCATAATAACAATAATAATAATAATAATAATAATAATAATAATAATAATAATAATAATAATAATAATAATAATATGTCCTACAGTAAGTCAGACGTAAGAGGAATAACGTTTGTGTTATTTTCCCTTTAAAGTCGTTTTTTTAATTGTTCTCTAATTTCCCCATTGTCTAATTTCCCCTTAAGGTAGGTTTTAGAAACATTACATGAACCGTACTTGGGTGAGCCTCACTCTCTCTTTGCCAATGAAAAACATTTCTTAGCATATACGGAGATAGATTCTATCTTGTAATAGGGGGTCCTGGTCTCCATCTAACACAGTAGTATTATCGAAACACTGTTATTATTATATGATTACATCTTGTAATGGGTATCCTGGCCTCCATCTAACACAGTAGTATTAATCAAAAGCACTGTTATTATAATATGATTCTACCTTGTAATAGGGGATCCTGGCCTCCATCTAACACAGTACAGTACTAATCGAAAGCACTGTTATTGTTATAATATGCATGTAAATATTATGTATTGTAAAATTTCACTTTCAATTTTTGGCTTAATTGGGTGAGAAACCCAATGTTGGTCAGAGAATGAGAGTTCAAATCCCAATGTGAAAAATACCTGTTAAATTAATTTATTTCATACTAACTAAAAAACTTCAATAATAAAAATGTATTAAACATTTTTTTACTCAATCCTCATTGGATATATTATTATCAACCTGTGCAAGCATAGCAATTCAATATGCAAATGAGCAGTAAGCTCTTCTTCCTGCTTTCATGGGTGAAAGTGTGGAGTGATAGATAACTGATTAGCCAATGAGTCAATGGTTCCCATGAGAAAGTGACCTCTATGGTGACACATCAAGGACTGCTTACACTGACAAACATTTTTTTGAAAATTTTATATTCAGTGTTATACTGTAAAAATTGGATAATTTTCTGAAAATGGTAATATGGAAATTACTATTATCATAATACATACACTTATCAGAGCACATTGATGTGCTCTGTCCTTGATATAGCACAGGTGTATGCCAACAGTGATTTAACAAAATATAATTTACATATTCTGTAACATATATATTATATAACATTAGAAAATGAAGAGTCCATGTTTGCTTTGGTTGTGTTTACGAACTTTCAACGAAACCGGATAAGTAAAAAATGACATAATGCCCAGAGGGTAGGTTATTAGATTGCTCATTTACGAATCCGAAGTTATTCGGATACCGACCGGAAGTACAATCACTCGAAAAGTATTCTGGTATAGGTCTTTCATGTAAACAAAAACACTTCACAGTCACATATGATACAGCATGCTGTTCTGTTAAGCCATGCGATCTTTCTGAATGTGTATACTTTGCCGACCTCAGCCCAACAAGGCAATTCCACAACGAATTACCTCGCCTTGCCTACGCTCGAACTCCAACCAATTCAGGCTAAAAAAAACCCAGGCCTTAGAAACTAGAGCCTAGGCCAACTGGGAAAATCACAAAAAACAAAGAAAAAAAATAGCCTACGAACTTACTACAACTACTTGTTCCACTGGTGTTCAGAGCCGACAACGGCGTGTCAACAGTGCGTGGTGGACAAGAAATGGGTCTATCGCCAAAAATTTTGTTCATCATCTCAAAATATGGCCATTGTGTTGGGGGTATCCTGACTTTCCCTGGGTGTATTTTTTGCGTAGGTTCCTGCATTTGGTAACTATCTGTGTGTGCGTAAAGTTATAACCCATTTCCTGCATCTTCTGTGTGATTTTTTTATTAACGGCGATGTTCCACCGGGTTCCATCAAAACCATCTTGTATGGATGTCGTTCCCCATATGCTAATTAACGTTTGGGTTGCTTCGTCAGTCCACCCACTCTGCTCAGCTGCAGCCATTGTATATAGGGGTACAGTTATATCGTTGTAAAAATAAACTTAATATTTCGGCTTAAAAATTTGATATAATTTATAAAGAGAGGACAACTCTAGCGACGTCACTGGACGAAGGCATGGATGAAAAGAAATTTCAGACTCAAGTGCTTAATTTGAATAGATTTCTCATAAAAGTAATGTCAGTTGACCTCATGCTGTGGGCTATTGTGCCCAAGGCAGCCTCCAACCCTCCAAACTTATCTGGAAAGGATAAGCCTGGAAAGTCCTGGTGTTTTAATAATTATACCTAGTTGAGGAATGATTAATTATCACCTCAGGCTTGAGTTATCCGGTTTTCAAAAGTTTGTAAACGGGCCCTTTGATAAATAAAATGTAAAACAGTGTAATAAAATACAGTTTGAGTTGTAGATGTAATATAAGCAATATAATTTATTAAATCACAAATATTTCAAACACTCCTGTGTTCTTCCTCAGTGTGAGGACAACTGACAAAAAATACAAGAAATCTTACATGTATGGCACTGTTGTGTCTTTCTGACGGGCTTTAATCTCATCCAGTCCTAGCATCATCCACCTCATGTCTAGGTTCCACTTGAAACCGCCACGAACTGGCTGACTTCTAAACTGTTCAAATGTTTCTGTATCCACCCTATCAATGACCGGTGTCGCGATGATGGTATTGTTGTAGTTCAACCGGTTAAGGAGTGGTTCCAGCCTGAAAGAATAAGGATTAATCATATTCACCTTAATAAAAATAATGAGCAATTTATAAATCTGCATTGAAAACTATCTTACACTGTATATCTAGCCATAAACAGACACTGAGCCTTTAATTCATATTCTTATATCTGAGCATTTTAAAATATTTCATTATCTTTAATAAATATGCATGATCGCTTTCTTCATTTACATAACACACAAAATATAGAATTTTTGTACAGGCGAGATAAGATAAAGGGAAGTTTCAAAGACAGCAAACTAATTGTTCTTCATATCAAATATTTTTCCAGTGGGACAGGTATTCTCAAATATTCCCATCATTGTAATATATATTTGGTTGCATCGTAATTATAATCTGTCCATTTGTATTCAAGCTTGACGCAGGGTTCCCGGAACGCCGCCCTCGGCGGCGTGTGCGAAGCACAACTCAGAGCCAGAAGTGAAATTTGCGATTTGCGAGAAAAACTTCAGCTACCCGTATTTCTCGACTGAGACATCAGTGGGAGCTGTAATTTGTATGGCAAGGAGATTGTGCAACCCTTAATTTGTATTAAGGGAATTTATGCCCACAAACCTTGTAGTTATTAATATTTTGGTTATAATAGAAAATATTAATTTTTTGGTGACACTCACAATAGTTAGCATGCATACATCATAAGCTAGATTACGTCACCTTTTCCTGGTAAGGCAAACTTTCCCGGTGTGCTTTTTTCATGGATAAACAAACACCACTGCTTTGCACATGGATGCCTTGCCTAGTTAGGGCTACAAGAGCCGCATTGTTAGCATTGTATAATACTTAAACAAGGTACGTCTGCAAGTGAATTATACTTAGTTATTTTTTTTTTCTTTATTAATTTATTACTTTTGAAAGTGTATTTTCTATCACATATAATTGCACTGTCCACTTAGGCCTGGGCCTAGTCTTATTATGCCTCATCGTCCCCCGCTAAACAGTACATCAGTAGGCTAGCCCCCCCCATGCTACAGTACAGATGTTTGCTAGGCAACAGAACGTGATTGCACCTTCCTTCCCAGGTGTTCATGTAACATTTGCATATTGTTAGCTAACCAATTGTGTGTATTCCTTTGTGAAAATGAGTACCGTGGCGCACTCATTTTCACAAAGCATTTGCATCCCCTCTTGGAAAGAGGGAACTTCGAAATAATTGTCTCCATATCTTCGCTAATTAATCACTTTAATTTAGCTTACACTTATGCATGGAGGGAGCACTTAAAATGTACAATAATCATTTCACTACCCAACAAACCCCAAACTTTATTCATGCATTAGGCCTACATAAATAGTTTCATCTTGCTGTACTCCAACATCACTGGCGCATGGTAACAACCAACTGACTGCAGACCATTTCCAGTCACACATTACTCTCCATAACACAGCACCCCCTAGTTCCGTCACCTCAGGATGCTCTAGCAGAACAAAACTCACCATTTAACTCCAACTTCGCAGTAAGGGTCAAGAAAGACAACAACATCCCCTTTGGCAGCACGGACGCCTTCCATTCTCGCTTTATTTTGACCATGTCTGACCTTCATTCGCAGAACATTCACTTTAGGTTTCAGTTTATCAGGCAAATCTTTCAAGTGTTTCAAAAATTCAGCTATATAAAAAAAAATTAGTATTTTGTAATGTTCAAAGCATTATTGCATTGATCGTGTTTCGAGCTGGAAAAGTGCCTTATTATAATAGAACTTTTTGTTTAAATAAATTTTGAATATATTTATATACATCCTAATTCTATGTAAATTTGTAGAATGTTTTTTGTTTCAAACAATGTTCAGGGAGACCAGTTTCGATAGTAATTTGGTTTACTTTTCTTGAAATCCTTTCTCAGCACTGTTTTCAGTTGCAATTTTTGTATTGTTTGTAAAACTAAATGCAATATCAGGATTTTTAATGTAATCATGATGACAAGCTATCGTGATTCAGAAATCCATTGTCAAAATCAGCTAATTTCCATTCTCAGGCCCATAACCAGGATTCTTTATCTGTGTGTGTAGTGGGAGTCAGGGGCCAAGTTGTGTGGAGCTAAACCCTTTTACATGTAAATGGTGAATTTCATCAACATATTGAGGGCGATGAGCAGGGCACTTTGGATTTACCACAGGTTTTGCCTAAAATATAACGGTTGGCTGACCCATAGAAACCCCCACCTGGTTATGGGTCTGTGTATATAGTTGCTTGATAAAAATGTAACTAAAAAAATATATTACAAATTCGTACCGTTGTCACTGTAGTCATCAACCAATAAGATCTCAAACAGCAGTTGATCTGGCGTTCTACTCACAATACCGTGAAGAAGTCTGGACAGGACAGACCAGACAATGTTGTGCACGACAACGATGACTGAAACCGGGGGTAAAGGAGGCTTGTAATGCATTGATCGACACCTAATTTAAAGAGTACATAATTAGCATATTATGTCTGATCTCTGAAATACATACCATATACTATCAAGTTTATAAATAAATTACAAAAAAATTTCAGTGAAATTCAATGTCATGAAATCAATAAAAAAAATTGTCCTCATTATTTGTTTATCATCAGAGTATTTGGTTCGAATCCCATTGAAATAATAATAATAATAATAAAAATAATAATAATAATAATAATAATAATAATAATAATATAGCCTGTACAATAACATTTACAAATAAATATTTGTATCAGGCTATATAGTAAGGCCTGCGCGGGGAATGTATCCTCTGCGCAAAAATTTGTCCTGAAATCTCATCCGTCCGCGCATTTCAGAAAATAAGGGCCGATTTCCATGCAGATTTTGCAGAAAATTAGGCTTTGATCAAATCTTAATATATAACCAATGCAATTATGATGCAATTACGACACCTATTTTTTTAGCGATCTGGGCCTTTTTTTTAGGTATCCTCCCTGCAATTAAAACATTTTTATGTTCAGTCTCAAAATTTCTGGACAATTATTGTATGAAAGCAAATCATAGAAAGTGAAAATATGAAACCAAAAATGGGCAATATCACAAATGAGCTAGGTCACTAAGTAACTGTAGGCTATTTACTGAAAAATTAAGTTTTTGTTGGCAACTTACATTGGCTCCCTGGTATCTTTTACTGTTCTTTCAACTGAAATCAGATTACTAACAATCAGGCTAAATCCGTGTAACTTTGCATCAGCTATTGACTTCTGTTTTTCTTTCCCTGTCAAGTGAACAGGTCTTCCATCTTCTCCAGGCCCAGTTCGTGCGCGATGAAGTCCGTTATGCAGAGGCAGAGCATTTTTCGGGTCAAGATTATGTCGTCCTAACCCGTCAGGGGGGCCAAGTCGAACATTCCCACCCCTCAATCGGATTTCCCTCGATTTTTTCAACACTGCATCATTTCGATCAGGCGACTTAAGAACTTCACCATCGTTTGTTTTATCAGTTTCATGAAAAATATGTGCTTTCTCGTCTGGGTTGAATTTATTTACATAATTGCCAGCAACTTTTTGAGGTCCAGGATCTTCGTTATTCTGCTGTACAGCCTTCTTGTTATGACTTTCCCCGACGATATTGATTGGTTGTGCGGGCTTCACTGCGTTGTCAATACTACTTAGACGCTGCTTGTCAAAACTCTTATCAACTGCATGTTTAACTTCTACAGACTCTGACTGATTGTTGCTACTACCTATACTATTATCATAGAAAACAAAATAAATGAAAGAAACGAGAGAAAACCAAACAATACCCCAAATTAAGACGGAGAATGGCCTCCACTTTGCCATGCTGGCACTTCCCTACATGCTTCAGTGACAAATCGTACGTCATCACTTGAGTCTGACAGAGAGAGAGTAAAAACTTAAGGTGCGGCGCACGCGGTGTACGGTGTTTATTGTATTGCGGAATCGCTGAAGGTGAGGTGATTTCCCTAAACTGTCTGTCTTTGCCGTCTGTTTGTACCGCGCGAAAGTTGCATTAAATTTCACTCGTAATTTCTATACTGAAAATATATAGGCAAGTGTTTTTTTTTCTAGATTGAATGGGTCGTGTTATAGTTTCTATACTATGGGCTGGGTGCGGGCTACCCTCCGATGCGCAATTTTGTAGGATAAAATCGGGAAAAAAAACTGCCAGATGACATGACGACCAGATATGGCACGCTTTTACATTTTACATTTAGCTGCGCGTCTGTTGGATAATAAATTCATTGTTCTTCTCGTTCTCGTTCTATTATAGAGGCCGAGTCTATATACCTATTTTCAATTGTTGAATTTAATTAATTAGTCTTACTTAATCTATTAATACAAAGTAAGAATACAATTAAAATGTTTATGTTCGACGAGTTTATTACTGGTTGTCTGTTGCAGAGGCGTTGAGGCAGTGCTGGGTTAGAAGCCATACTATAATCCGGGGTAGACCTTTATTTTGACTAAGCAACAAAACCGTTAAAAAAAGTCTGCAATTGTAATTTCCTGTCAACTTTTCCAGGACAATAGACGAGATTTGAATTGAATCTAGTAAACCTTAAATCCCGGCAATCATAAACGCCGTCGACAGTTAATTAGGCCCTAAGTGCCACATCACAGCTTCTCAGTCTTGGCTTTTTATAGGCCTACAGTAATTCAAAATCTTAGCAAATCAATTAAATAATGCTTAGGATTTTCAAGGGATTGTGTATTAGTTATTCTTCCAATAATTACAAATTCGAAAAAAAAAATCACTTTTACAAAAAAGTAAAAAAAATAAATAGATAATAGTTAGCCGTCAATTTTTTCCCAACCCAGTATTCTCGTTGTATATTTAAATTACTCAACACCAAACTATCGTTAATGTAGGCTAATGGGGATGTCAAAAACCGCATAGGCCTATCCATCAACTGATGGTTAATAACTAACAGGCAGGAAGTAGCAATATCAACGTCATTTCTAATAACCTTATTTGGACAAGACCACAATGTAATAAATCTTTCGGGCTACCAAATAGAAAATACATACTTTATTCTCAAATAAGGAAATTGGTCGGCCTATAGTAGGTTTCTTCTCTCATTCTCTCCTTTCCACCTAGTCTCCATTTCTTCTTCGTCCTCTCTATCCCCCGGACACGCGGGTTTGAAGCGCGTTTTTAATTAAACTTTATTAATTAAATGACTGACGATATTTTGCGAATTACATGAATGAAAATATAACTTTTTTTTTCTCAAATTTTGTATGGTATTGTTCAATAAAGATATGACATATATTAATTTATTTTAATATTGGTGATGTGACTTATGTGTCACGTTGATTGTACTGGAACATGTTCGCGGTGGACACTTGTAATCTAAAATGTTTTGTTTTTTTTTGTCTGCCGCCCTCTTTTTCAATTGATTCATCTTGTTTTCAGACACGATCTCCCTCGGCCTTCTGGAAGTTAATCGGCTTATTAGTGATAGGATGTTTATGCTTCAGTGCGTATGGAAGTGCTTATCTCGCCATCAGCATGTTTATCTTTTCAACTTGGTTGTAGGAAGCGGATCCACGGATAGCAAACACTGGTTGAGCCTTTGTTTTGACAGACAATAGATTCTTTCATTCAGTTGATACTCCTAATTCAACTTACATTTTCTAGTTACACTGTGAATATTATGAGGTCGAACTGTGATTGTTCGTTATATTGGTAGATTTACATCAAATTCGTGTTGTTTTGGCGAAAAAAAAGCCTAATAGTCTGTAGATCGTATTACCTTTTATTTTTCCGGCTGGGAATGGACGAAAGACCGGTTCTCAGCAGTAGTATGGGTCGTAGACTTCTTTGTATATTTGTTCGTCTCGTTTTTATAACATTATCTTATGGATATAACTTGGATACCTCGTCTCCGATAGTCCATATTCAAGAAAGTGGTGGTCTCTTTGGATTCTCAGTAGCTCAACATAGTGAAGGCAGCACGAAGTGGTAAGTGTTCTGTAGCGAGACTGAGTGAGCGGTCTCCGTTTTATCACTACAGCTACAGATACAGGCCTACTGCAGGCTACAGACTAAACTTTCTTAATCATTATTAGTAAAACTGATGGTACTATATCAAGGAAGTGTATCTACGCCCTATTTAAGTTTCGTTTTAACGCAATACAGTCAAGACAATTTCATTAAATAGGCCTACTGTTATTTAGGTAATCAGGTAAATAAAACAGAAACAGAATACTTTATTATGTCTATTATAGGCCTATAATTATTATTATTATTATTATTATTATTATTATTATTATTATTAAAAATAGTAATTACTTATATATATCGTTATTTAAATGAATACAGTAATATTAGTTATTAATGATTATTTATAGAAAAGGTGTATAGCAGCTGTTTTAACCCATCATTGTCAATCATTTACTTTTATTACTGATATTAATATTAAATTAATTTTTATTCTTATTATGCATGTTATTCCTCAGAGCTGGTACCTGAGCAATAAGACAACCTTTTAAGTTTGAAGCACCAATATTGCTTTTTAATGTTGTCTCTACTCTAGTATATAAAATCATTCATGTGTCATGGGTATAATCACTCTCTTATCAATTGTTTTAATTGTAATTATGAATTTGACTGCCTGTGAATTCTGGTATGTACAATTATAGTGTACATGATAATGATACGAATCATCATACCTATGGTTTATATGGGGTTTTGGGTTATCTTCATGATTTTTTTGTCACCAAAATGGATTGAAAAGTTGTGGCCAGTTTTTCACCACAAAATGATTAGTTACCCAGTAAATAAATGTCATTTCGTTAAACTTATATTAAATAATATATGCATGGCAATCCTAAAAATACCACAACCTTCTTGTTAGAATGTTTCCCATGGAAAATATAGACGTCATTTTAGCAATCTGTAAAGCCAAAAGATTTTTGGAAGAACTTTGTATTTTTCTTTTGTCTTGAAAGTACAGTAATCATATTAAGTTGGCCGTTATTTGGCAATTGTATTATAGTTAAAACATACTTTAACAAAAATGATAATTTTCTGCAATGATTAAGGTGGAAGAATGTGACCTTGGAGAACAAAATGGGACAACCTTTCCATATGTCTTGTAAACTGGTTTCTCTACCTTACAATTACCTGTACCTTCAGTTATTATCAAGTGGTTTGGATGAGGGTCAGTGGTATATCCATGATTTTGAAAAGTGGCTTGCTGAATAGAGATCCACCAAACTTAATGCAAGGCGCAAAACTAGGGACAGAGTAAATAGGGGGCTACGACTACACCATTCAACCACTGGTTGAAACATTAAAACAAAACCTTCTTGTAACGTTCATGAACTTTGTGGTTAGGTGTGTCACAAAATAACGTCCACATTTATGCTTCAGGAATGTTCAAACATTAGGAAATTACGTTCTATATACGTATTTTTAAGTAACATTTTCAACACCAAACTGAACGTTATTATTGCTTACTTTGTAAATTTATTTCCATACATTTACTAAATTATTTTTTTTACTCTTGGGCTTAGGAACCGTAAATCCCAGCCCCCTCCCCCACCTTGTTATGCCACTGGGAGTTATACAACTTGTTTTTGAGGTTTGTACTTGCAATATTTAGCAATACAGAGCTCATTTGGGATTACTATAGCTCTATGCTCTTTTAACTGTACAACTCCATTCAGCACTGTTAGGCCTATATAGATTTAATGGCAAGTACTGTACAAAAGCATGTAAACAAAGTAATTTAAATATAATTTGAAGGTACAGAGTAAGAAATTCAAATATTTAATTCATTTTTTTAATGATTATTAGCTCATCACAATGTGTAATATGAAAAATCATCTCTTTACCTCAATAAAAAATTCAATTGTAACAACTGTGCTCCAATCTTTCATCATGCTTTAAAAAAAATACATTTTCTTTGAAATTCAGGCTAATAATTGGTGCTCCAAATGCAAATACAAGTACTACAAGACAGGGGGCTGTGTACCGGTGTCCCGTCACTTTGCCCAACCCTGGCAGCTGTTCTAAGATTGACTTCGACAGTCAAGGTAAGGTTTAAATACTTAATGTGGAAGCCACATTTTGTCTTCCTAAATGCTTTGGTCATTCTGCTCAAAATTATATTCCAGTGGCAGGTTCAGCGGAAATGGGAAAAGGGCCGCATGCTTCTTGGAAGTGACCAATAGTGTGGCTGAACTCTCCAGCTTCCAGGAGGTAGTGTAAGTACTGTATGATCCTATGCAGCAGCCCTAACTTTTCCCAATTTAGAATTCGTCTCATGAACCAATAAAAAGATGCCAGTAGACAGTCCAGTCTAGTGCCAGTAGTATACTATCCAACCCACCTAAAATATATTTCATTAATGTTTTCTATTATTACCTTCCAGACACACAACCACCAACTCCTAACGTTAGAAATGACCAGTGGCTAGGGGCATCGGTGGCTAGTTCAGGAGCGACTGTGGTGGTAAGCATTTTATAAAGTAATTGATTTAATTATTTTAGTACATATGTAATCCAAAAAATGAAATATATACAGTGTACAGTATTGTTTTGTTTTTTAAATTTATAACAATATTATAATGCACATTCTATATAGGTGTAATGAATATTGTACCTGAATGCATGATTATAATATGGAATGATTCAAGTTTCATTATAAATGCCGTTGTAATGTAAATAAAAACAATAATACTAATACTTCATACAGGTTTTATTTGTCCATATTGAAAAAAATTAATTGTGCACCAAATTAATTAAATTCCTTTATGAAGGTCCAGTATTTTTATTGTGAGATTAATCTTGTATAAAACCTTGAATTGAAGCCCAACAAGCTTAATCTCGAGAAGAAAGCCATCTCGAAATGAATCCCCCTCTTTAGTTTGCAAAATTAGCCTAGAAAAGAAGCCCATGGGCTTCTTTTAAAGATAGCAAGGGCTTTTTTCGAGAGAGAGTACAGTACATACACTGTACATGCATTTAAAAGAAACAAAATAAATTAAAAACACGCTTGGTCCAGTAGTGGTCGTGATTTAATCCCCAGTTGATACACTCAATGATACAGATTGATGTTACAGTGGTCCTATTTATTGTTATATAGTAGTAATTCCCAAAATTTACAGCATTCATTTTATAAAGAAGCCCCCCCTCCCTCTTTACTTTGCAGAAGTAGCCCCAAAAGAAGCCCATCCAAAGTTTGCAAAAAAAAAAAAAAAGAAGCCTAGGGCTTCAGTTTGAGGTTTTACGGTATTTCAATTCTGTTGATTTTAATAGGCTTGTGCTCCACGGTTTGTATGGCGATACAGCTCCAATGAGGTGACATTCCAAGATGAACCTGTTGGACGATGTCATACTGTGACAAATAACTTCAGAAATTTTAAGTCCTATTCGCCGTGCCATAGGAATGCAGGTACAGTAATTGTTATTATTTTATCCAAAAAAAAATTGGTTTGGTTATAAATGGCAAGCCTCATCGCATTCATTATTTTATTCATAAGTTAAACGATTGATTGATTGATGATCGATTGGTTGATTGAAAGATGAAGTTGTATTGTAGCTTTGTGGTTCAGATGATTTTCTTCCTGAGTTGAGTGGCCTAGCGGTATGGAAAAGGAGTGTAGCTAACTACAGCCTTAATCCGCGCTGGTTTGAGCCGCTCCTCACACAGTTTTTGTTTGGTAGAACCACGTCTTCTCGTATAAGGACTTAAAGCGGACGTCCAGTGTACACATCTGACTCGTGTGCACTTTAAAGAACACATTGCATCTTTCGGAAAAGTTGGGAGTTACCCCGATGCTGTGGTTCATTTCAAGCCCCTTGTCCTTGTGGAATGATGTGAACATGAAACTACTCTAAGCGCCTCTGTTTGGCGAACTAAATTAATATCACTCTAGACAAAACAAAACTCTCTCATGACCCAACACCTAAATACCTTGGTGTCATATTGGACCACAGCGCCTCGCATTCCATCAGCATATCAAGGCAGTAGCTGTAAGACTTAGTCTTGTTTAAACCTTGGGTGAATCTTACAACACCCTTCACACATCATTCAAGTTATGGGTTTTTTCTCCTACCTTTACATTTACCATTTTGGATTTGAATCCAGTGAGTCATTAGGATAATTTTCTTACAATTAAGAAGCTCTCCCAGGTCTAAATTCCAGTTGAACCTAGTTGATTATTTCAACTGTGTTGAACTAGGTATAACTGGTCGTAACTATGTTGAACTGGGCTGTCAACTGTGCTTAACTGAGTTTGATTTTTTCACAGTTAAAATGTTCAGTGATTTCAAAGAACCAGTTAAGAGGGAGGCAATTTTTAAAATCCAGTTCGGTTTTCCAACTGGTTTAAAAATCCAGTTCGGTTTTCCAACTGGTTTAAAAATCCAGTTCGATTTTCCAACTGGTTCAAAAACCCAGTTGGAATTTTCAAATGGTTACATTTTTACATTTAATTTGAAATATGTTTTTTAAAATCCAGTTCGGTTTTCCAACTGGTTTAAGAACCTAGTTGGAATTTACAAATGGTTTTATATTTCTACTAGAAATGTGTTGAACTAGGTAATAAAGAAGACAGAACTGAGTTGAACTGGGCTGTCAACTATGCTTAACTGGGTTTAATGTTCAGTTACTGTATTTCAAATGGTGACATTTCCTTCAATTTGAAATGTGTTGAAATAATAGGTAATTTTATTAATGTTGGCAGATCTATGTTGAACTGGGCTGCCAACTGTGTTTTACTGGATGCCCAAATAGTTGATGCATTTTCAGTTTGGAATGTTTGAAATTTACAGCAAGTGTAATGACTTTTCCCCAATGGGGCTAGACCTTCTCGTGGAAAATGTACATACTTAAAATGTGTATTATAAAGACAAAATAACACCTGTACATAAATTTCACATTCAATTCTTCAGTGCAATAATTTTATTAATTTTGTACACAAATATTACAGGAAACATCTTCATGTACTATGATGAAATACACAAAATAGAATAATAGTTAATATTCTTAAAGCTATTACAGTATGACCAAAGTTTAAATTTGAATAAAGGAAAATATAGTTGAACCCCCCCTTATTTGGGACACCCTGTCCAGGAGACACTCCTATTATTAAGGGGACGAAGACATTTTGTGAGTGGTCAAATGGTAAAATTCAACATATTTAACACTATCAAGGGGAACACTTATTTTTGTTATTGATATACAAACAACAAAGGTTTTAAAATAAGGGAAAAAATCCTTCAAATGTATATTTTACCTCTTAACCTTTAGAATGCGCCCTTGTGCATGTGCTACTTAAAAAAAAAACTCTGACCATTTAACATGAGGATTTCTTGTTTTGCGTATTTTCATAATACTGTAGGATTCTTATCTATACCGCACACCCTGATTTCAAAGTCATTACTCCATTCATGCTATTATAAATTGTGCATCAAAAAGGAGGCTCAATATTTTAAGAAAATAAATAAATTGGTCATTAACATTGTACTTGAATCCTGAAATAATATCGAGATCATATACAACTACTGTTGTTATAATTACTTTTCTGTTGATTTCATATCATAAATGATTTGTTCCTGCATTTCAAGTTATTGTATAAATCTCATTTTTAGGTCAATTAAAATAAAATTATAAAGAATCAATGTCATCATTGTACGTAAGCATTCCATTCTTTTTTTATCAACACACAAGATGGTGAACTAAATGGCAACTTTGTACATATTGTATTGCTTTTCCCACTATCAAGTTAATCAGTATCCTCAGGATAATTTATGCAATACAGTACTACATAATAAATGTCAGGTCCAAACAATGGATAATAACCTATAACAGACCATGAAGTACTGTGCTTCATGTATATAGTATATACTTGCAAGCTAAGGCTTTTTTATACCTTTTAATAATGCAAAATGAAGATTTAAAATAAAAGTAAATCTTTTGCCAATTAGCACGCATGCTGCCACAAAAAAATGAAATGTCAAAGAAATATACAAGTTTTTCTTTATTTTTATTATTCTCCCACTGCCTTGAAATCTCACAAAATAAGATACCTGTATGTATATTTCTTTCCAACTATATAATTTTAAATCATTTACCCATCCTATTACTACACTGTTTTATTTTTTCCTATGTCTGAATGCATTTGGCTAAATAATTTTCTAAATAAGAAAACAATGTTATTTTTTTTTTCCTGCCCTTCTCCAACAAGCTTTAAAAAACTAAAGTTCGCGAAACAAGGTATAAAAAAGTCTCGCCTAATTTTAATGTTTAAAAGGTCATGTTTTTATAATTGTATATGAGGCATATATGTTGTGGCAAAATGGCCAAGTTGTAGCAAAAATTGAAATTCAAGTCATTGGTATTTTCAGATACCTGAGTATGTAATCTTGAGGGGTCATTCATTGAAATTGGACATTTCAAGCATAAGTTATTGGAAAATGAAAGTACAGCACTCTTAGAGACAAGATAAATATGATTTTGAGTCATTGCCTTCCAAAACTATTTATGCATCCATTGTTTAATTGAATTAACTATCTAAATAACATTAAATAAATGATTTGTTGACCACTTCCAGAACTAATACTTTGGGACATGATGAATAAGACATTAAACTGTTGATATATAGTGAAAAAAATAATATGGATTTTTAGGCAATTTTTTGGGCTCCCATATTTTATAGATCATTCAAATACTGGCCTGTGCGTGACTTAACCATTTCACCACGATATGCCTCATATACTGTAGCAACAAAATCGTAACTAGAAATATTGTCTTTAAATTATAAAAATACATTTATAACATTAACAGACAATTAACACAATGCAACATGGTTTGGGGGAAAACATACGTAAGCCTTGCGTCCAACATTGAAAGACAAACAACTTCCTGCAAGTTCGAAAGCTGAAACTACATTAATATCTTGGCCAGTGTATGAGCACAATTTTATGTGTGAAACGTTTGCACCAGACTGTCGATCCTTAAATTCATTTACACTGAGAAGTGTCAATGCCTTAAAAAGAATAATGCACTGTTCCCTTTCATAATATATGATCTTCTGCAGTTCTCCAACAGTTCCATCTGACAAATAAAATACTCTACTGTTCACTTTGACAGCTCTCTTATACTCCACTGTATGATAGAAGAGACCACCTTTATTCAAACGTTTGTAAACAAGGACTTCATTGCCTACAAGATACCCATTAGCCCTCAATGCTTCCTGTTCCATATCTGACAAATGTGTAATGTTACCTGACCCATAAAGCTGTACCTGACCTATTATTTCTGAAGGATGACATTTTCTTGGGTAGTAAGTATTGTCACAAAACACTTTAATTCTATTTGACACCATATATACTTTGGGAAATGTTGGCAGTGTTCTAATTAACAAAAACTTGTACATAGCTTGTTGCATTATGCCCCTGTTCCCCTTTAGAAGAGTTTTGATTTTTCCATTAGCAGATTCAAATGGAAAACAAGAGTGACTCCATAAAGGGCCCCACATTTTAACACTTGTTGCTAGGTGTGTCAATGAGTGGACATTAAAAGTCATTGCACTGGATTCATACAGTAGCTGCATTCTACTAACAAATTGGAATAATAGATTGTCGGCCACATTTACTTCTTCTTTGCTTACTGACTTTCTTAACAGAACGTGAACACCTTTTACAAGGAGGCAAACATGGGTTAAATAAACATTAGGAAGAATTCCCAGAAGACAAGGCAATAAAAAGAATAAAAGCCAGTTACACCACTCACTTGCCTTCCAATATTTCCTTTCAGATATTGGTCTTGGTTTTCGTGCTACAAACATTGGAGTTTTAATTTGTTTTAGAAGTCTATCTAGTCTTGATACAATGTTAGGGGAACCAATATAATATGGACTGTCAGCTTGTGACTCAAACCATAAACAGGCCAGCTGCTTAGATACACCAAGTAGAACACAATGCATGAAGTCAGGTGGGAACCCCCAAACTATGGAAAAATGTGGCATATTTATCAAGGGAGAAGGACCTTTCACACCTCTCACAATATGCCCTTCACCAACAGCTTCTATCATATCTTGTAAGACTTCATGATCTTCCCTATCTTCATAATGACCTACATCAACAGGGTACTTTATAACACGTTCTACTGCCTTGCCCGGATGATAACAAATGCCACAGCCCATATAAGCATTATATTGCATTGTATTTGACATGGCAGCACGGGCTGGCGCATCTACACTACAGCAGATGCCATATAGTTTACTGTGGACTTGTTCCCCTTCTTTATTCCAAAAAATTCCGTCTGTTTCTAATAGAAGTGCTTCTTTTAGAAATATATGCAAGAAAGTGTTCATTTGTGGCTCTGATTTGCCAAGCCATACACCTGCCAATAGTAAATTATTCATTCTAAGTTTTGGAGGTAATTCATTTATCATAATGTATATTGGCCACAATGAATACTTTGAAGATTTAAAAATAGGAACCCCATCTGAATTAAAAGAGTAAGAGAAGTTATTGACATTGTGCAGAGGTTGTCCTGGTTCACAAAGCCTTTGGTATATTTCTCCATCATATATATCTTCCATATTATCTATCTCCTGTTTATTTCTATTAGTCTTGTATGAAAGGTGTTGAGAAATTCCTGGTGTTTCAAACAAAGTTTTAACCTGAGACTTTAATCCTGATGTTATGAAAAAATTGTTATCTGATAACTTTTTCACAGTACAATCTCTGCGGCATTCAGGACATGGCATTCTTTCATTGTGTAATCTGTTATCCATGCCATCATCATATGTACTAACAAAGCTAAAACAGTGTGTGCAATAGAAATGAAATTTGAAGTTCAGGCTTTTACTTTGAAACACTTTGTCAAAGAGAAACTTCGAGGAGAGCAAAACAGCCTTTCCAAAAATTTCATTGATGAGTTTTAGCAAGTCTACCAGAGCAACCGAGGAAAGACAGTGCCTCATTACAAAGGTCATTACCATGAGTAAGACTTCTGCTCGTGTTGTGTCTACCCCAACACATAACTTTTCATTCAACGAGTCATCAACCACAAATGTACCTAACTCATCTTGGTCATCTGAAGAATCTTCTGGATCATCCTCTTCTGTTGAATCAGATGCATCAGCATCTGAGGATAGTTCATCAAATGAAATTCCATCATCTCCAAGGCTATCACTGTTAGCTTCATTTAAACTATCAATGTCTGATGATGAATCAGCGCCAGCCTCAAGATTTAGGTTGTCAGCTGCTTCCTGAATCAAAGAATAGAAAGAATAGACAATCTAAATGGGCCAAAGAATTGATCTGAAGTTAGCCTAATATAAAATCCAAAGTCCTTTATAATATTGCTGTGTCTTAAAAAAGGCATTGCATCCGAACATGCATTGGATAAAGTATGTGGCAATTATAAATAAAACCTAATTATTCCCTTGGCTAGTGTAAAAACAAAAACTGTCCTGTCCCTCTTAAAGTAATGATATTCAAAAATTATATTAAATATTTCTAGTATTTATTCCATACAATATTAATTTGCCTATATTAGCTAGTTTAAAAGAAAATATTTTTTTTTAATGTGAAAAATGAAAATATTATTCATCTTGTAAGATGCACTGTACTGATACATAGGTCCATTGGAATGAAGATAGAATAAACAAGGCCTGAGTGAACAAGTATTGAATACAGTCATAATGGCTACACCATTTTTATCATATTGTCTTAAGTTAAGACTTATTGGTGTTCCCTATATTCTAAAGTACTCTACAGTACTGTTCAGACAATAAAATGATTAATTGATTGTAAAACGTACAGCATATTCACCATAATGACTGTATATGGAGTTATCAGGGCTGGATTCAAAACAATTATCATCGACTTCATCTTCAAGATTTGCACCAACTTCCTGTAGTATTTAAAATGAAATCAATTGTACACAGGTTAGTACGCCACATTTATTCAGCTGGAATTAGGCCTATTCATTAATCTGTTGCTGATTTCAGTTATGATATAGTTGAACTTGATTAAATCGAATCCAAAATGCCATTAAAATTTTGTTCGACTAATAGATAAACTTCTATTTACAGATTTACAACAATTTGGCATGTAAAATTAGATCAACTTATGCAAGTTTATGGATTTATATATATTTTTTTGTTATGTATAAAATATTCATCATGATGTACCTTTAAGTCTTTAATTACTGAGATGTTCAGGCCCATTTTCGGATACCTGAACTCTTTAAAATAGTCCTGATCAACCAATGGATGAACCATCCAATTGGCAGTAATAAACATTTGTACACTACTGTATATACAATTATCATTTCATTATTTGACACTTGATACAAATATCACCAATTTGAAGTCTTCAACTAAAAAACATTTTGTTACAGAATTACCAACGAACAACATTTTTTTGCTACTCATCTTTGTCTGCAATTGGAAGAAAATGTTTTATTTTAATTGAATTTTAACACGTTGCGATGCTGTACCATGTTTTCACCACTTAAAAATATAAATTTTAGTAGTTTATTTTAAAACGGTGTATGGTTTGAATGGTGTACTGTACAAAGTGTATTTTTATTTTCAGTTTTAATTGCATTTTTTTATGTTAGAGCAGCCATAGTCTCTAAATAATACAGGCCTACGCTAGGCCCAGCCTGCATTTTCATAATGTAAAATACTATAAAACAGGCCTAGGGCTGCCTGTAAGGCCTAGCCCTCTGGAGGAATGATTGGGTTTCTGGACAAAACGGCAATAAGTCAAAACGGCAATGACCAGAATGGCAAACAAACAAAACGGCAACCCTTTTTTGACCAGAATGGCAATAGACCAAAGTAGCAGTAAGTCAAAACGGTAAGACCAAAACTATGCTAAATAATTTATATCATAAAAGTAAAAACGTGAAAAAATAAACTAATTATAAATATGAAAGTGTACTATGATTAAATACGGTAAAAATGAGGATAAACAGCAACAGCAGCAATATCATTAGGAATACTGTAATAATAATTATAGCAACACTTACTAGTCTTGGCATTGACTTCGATCCTTTGCCGTTTTGGTCTATGCTATTTTGGTCTGTTGACGTTTTTTTGGTACTTGTCATTGCTGTTTTGTTGGTTCATTGTCATTTTGGTTATTGACGTTTTGGTCACTGTCGTTTTGGTTTATTGCCGTTTTCACCTGCTACTGCTACATAATTATTGGATGTATTGTTGTAGGCCTATGTACAGTAGGCCTAGGCTAGGTGGTAGTAGTAAGCCTACGGCCTAGGCTAGGCCAGCCTGTAATAATTAATGGTATTTACTATTAATTATTAGGCTATTTGTTTTTGATTTGAATAATTTGATGGTCCAAATGAGTCTGCCTGCTGGATGAACCACCCTCTCAAACTCGTTAAAATAAAATAAATAAAAGACTTACTGCAATGGGAGCTGTAGTACTGCTACTACTAGGCCTAGGCCTAGGAGGAGGAGTATCATCATCGACCTGGTCCGGCAAGTTCCAGCGACGCAAAGTGGTACGTGGTACATCGTCAGGTTGTCCTTTACCACCACCACCACCACCCGGCTCCAAGTAACTTTTATACGTCCTTTTACGAGCTTTTTTCGCTGATTGACTCATTTGAAAGCTGTTAGGGAGTTTAATTTTACTTAGAACAATACCATTGGCATTTGTTAATTTCACCAACAGCAATTTTAAAGACCGATTTTAGAGCAGGCACACAATCCAGGGGCCGCTTAAAGCAACCTTTGACCCTGGCCCTTGTCAAAGTCTCATAATCTAATATCAAAACTTTTTTGAACGCATGTTAACTTAAACGGCAATATATATATATATATTTCAATATAATTTTTTTACATTTCATTATTACATTGTGGTTAAATTTACATTAATCTTCTTTTAAGTAGCATATGTATAATAATAATGACATGCGCGTGCGATGATGAAACTTGTTGACGTACGCGCGTAAGTTTGTCTGACTCTTTTCCCGCCCACGGCTCACGATGTTCAGATGCAGCGCAGACGAAGGCGAGATGGCGACGAAAACGCAGAAAGTTGTCACTCATGCATATGTGCGATATTTGCAAGACCACCAAAAGGAAATAGTGAGTGTTAATTATATTAAACACTTCAACCCAAAACACGATAAAGACTATGCCGTAGACCGAGCGTACATGGTAAAGTGGATGGATGCGAACGGCGGAAAGAAAGATGAACGTCGTGATTCAAATTGGTTCAAGGCTCAAATCCTCATGCTTGGAGGTAGGGAAATGACAGTTCTTCAATCTTACGTCCAGCATAGCTTAGGCCCTAGGCCCTGGCCTACCTATTAACCAAGGTTAACACGCCAAACATCTAAGCTTTAGGTAGCTAGGGCTAGGCTTAGGCCTAACTAAGCTAAGGTAGCTATCACTGTGTGTGTTTCACTCCTGGGTGAGACACACACAGTGACTAGGTAGGCCTATAACAAAAAAAAATATTTTTACTATTTAGGGGCCAACCTAGGCCTACCCAGGCTTAATACCTATAGCTTGTTTACCATTGGCATTAGTATTAGTAAGCCTAGGCCTAGAAGAAAAGCAAATACTGTAGTAATACCCTCACCAAAATATAATTTCAAATCCCTGACGTGAACTAACAATTAATTTTATTTGGCCATATCACTCCTGCCCGAATCAGAAATTTGGGAAATATTGATGCGGGAATAATAAAAAAAAAAAAATTTGCTGCATCATTTATTTCAACAGCATAAAAAAACAATGTAATTTTGTAACTGACATTTTCTTTAAAAAACAATAAAATTAACGCCGTGGCTAGAGATACGGTACCGTATTTCTACTTCAATTTGCTAAAGGTACGGTAAATGGCATTACGTCACCATTACCCAATGAAGTGCCAGAATGTGCGTGACGTCATTTTTAAAGATTGGCATTGCGGTGAAGCGGGAACGATGTATGTGTGTGTGTGTGTGTTTAGGCGGATTCCCTAGAGTTCGGTACAGAAATCAGTCCTTGTTTGATAATGGTTATAAATAGGCCTAGAAATGAAACTCTTTACTAAGTGGAACCATACGCCTATTTATCGATGACAATACTAAGTCAAACAATATAGTACTTTTTGATGCAATGCAATTTCCCAGTACTGTACATCGTTCTCGTTTCACCGCTCATCGCGGGTGATCTGCAATGCCAGTCTTGAAAAATGATGTCACGCACATTCTGGCACTTCATTGGGTGATGGTGATGTAATGCCATTTACCGTACCTTTATCAAATTGAAGTAGAAATACGGTACCGTATCTCTAGCCACGGCGTAAAATTAAACCAGTTTTTATACAATATTTATATAATTTTTATGCCAAATAAAAACAGTCCCTCCCTCATCGATAAAAAAAAAAAAGTTAAATCTGGTGGAGGTACATGATGGGTCATTTACCTTGAATTTACCTTGAAGACCAGGACTAGAGAACTCATATGCAAGAGTTTTTTACAAGTGATTGTGGTCAGACCAAAATTTAGCAATGCCCGATATAAATTCGTTGATTGTTTTTGATGTACCATCCACACATAAAATATTTTAGAGTATACATTCTGCTTTAGTCCAGACTTTTTTATATACCTTGTTTAGCAAACTTATTTTTGAAAGATTGTCAGAGGTGGGCGAAAAATAAATAAATAAATAAAAAATTTTGTTGTCTTTTAGCAAATTTTTGCAAAAAAATCCAGATGGAGGAGAAAATAGAAATAAAGTTTTATTGGTGAATGTAAACAGTGTAGTAATGGGATGGTTAAATACTTTAAGAAATATACATATCTTATTTTTGAGATTTCAAGGCTTCGGCGGGCGTAATAAAATATAGAAAAACATTTTTTTTCCTCTAAATTTTCCATTTTTCGTGGCGGCCTGTGCGCCAATTGGCTGAAAATAAAATTTTCTTTTTATTTGAAATGACCATTATTGGCAGGCTAAACAAGGTATAAAAAAGTCCTGCCCTATGTGCTCTAGTCATTATTGTAACTTTTATTATATTTAACACAGGATCAGAAGAGGAACTCGAGAATAGAATTGAAAAAGGGAGGGTAAAGATAAGCAAAGTACTCGATACCAGTGTTGAAAGTTCGTCTGATGAAGATATCTCATTGTCTCAAATTGCCAAGCAAAGGGTATGCATTACAATATTTTTTTCACTACTTTCAATTTCAACAACATCCACTGTCAAAATGCCTAAAATTAATTAGGATGAGGAACCAGGATTTTGGGTTGAATTAACAATTTTAGTAATGTTTTTAGTGCACAACTGGGAACATAGAACGTTTTCTATTGATAATTGGCAATGTCTTATTTCACAGAAGGAAAGAAAACAGGACATTTCTATGTCAAAAGAGAATCAGCTGAAGCTAATAATAGAAGAAAAAAGACGACAGAAATCTCCACCATTTCAAAGTACAGCTCCCAAGAGGTGTGATGAGCTAAAGGAGCTCAAGAGAAAAAATGATGTTCTCCAACTGCAGTTGGATGAGTACCAATGCCTAAATAAGAAACTTCAAAAGTTGTTGCATGCAAAGCTAGACAAAGGTATGTTCACAGTAGCATACATTACCACTTCTGATTTACTGACCATTACTTGCCTATTCTTGATTACTACTGAACTTTTTCTTAAAAAGTAGACAATCATTGCACAATAATTCATACAGTTGAACTTGCCTAAGTTGAATCAGAAATAGCATTGAAAAATTGTTCGACATGGATAAAATTTGACTTACAGATGGTTAATAAGTGAAAACACAACAATTTGATATGTAAAATACAGAGATGTCACTAGCTTTTTGGAGTGCCGGTCTGCGATCATTCCGTGTTTTCCCGGGGGGGGGGGGGGTCGCCATATTCGTGAAAGCTCTTAAAAACCAAAAGGCCTAATTCGAGCAGGCCTAGCTAGGCCCAAGGCTAGCTGACGCGATTTTTTTATTTATTTTTTGTCCATTTACACACATTATATATCAATTATAATTAAAAGTGAAAAACTTAAAATACAAAATGAAAACAAAGTAAAGAAATAAAACATAAATCGTAAATTTTTAATAATCTTCCTGCCCCGGACCATGCTCTCATAAACACTTGAATGGTCACGATTTCAACTTAACCTTTGAATGTGTACAAAGCAACCGTGTCATGCTGGCCCACGATGTTCGCTATGACTCAACTGGGCCTAGGCCTTGGCTGTTAAGTTAGCGATGAATAGCAGGGCAGTGCAGTATTTTGTTACAATTACGTAACCATGGAAACATTTATTGTATTCTTCTTGTCTTTATCAATTTAGCTTGTCTATTGTGTTTAGTAAACTAATTATTTTGTTACAATTTGTAAACTGTTGAAATAATAGTGGTGGTCGGGAGCCTGTAAATCCTGGTCGGAAATGTTGAGTGCTGGACGGGGCTGACCAGCGTGGTGACATCCCTGAAAATAAGATCGACTTAGGCAAATTCGACTTAGGCAAGTTTAATGTCAGGCTCTGGAGAGAAAAAAATTTGATGTTGTAGAACTCATTTTTCTAAGACACAAAAAAGTTGTTTGACAAAAAACTGGGGAATGGTGAATGAGATACAGATTTTTGAATATTTAAAAACTGGGGAAAAGGGGTGTAACCACCTATTTTTACACCTTTTTCTTTCCTCTGGAGTCTGACTTAATTTAATTCTAATTTAGTTTATCATTGTAATCTTTTAAGTCAACTACAACAAAGATATGTAGAATTGAAAATTTTAACACTCAAACTTCTATTTAGATGTGTATAAGTACCCAAAGCTTGGTATTGCAGTTTGTACCACTAGATTGTAGAGCTTTCATAGTTTGTTTTATAATTAATCTTAGGTGTCATTCATATTACAACTTCAACCAAGGCTACCAAAACACCATTATCACCAGCAGCAGCATCAAACTCAGCACCAGCATTTGAGTCAGTAGCAGCAACAACATCAGCTGCATCAGTGGCTGAACCTGATGAAGAACCTCAGTTGTATTGCAAGTCAGGTGATAAGGTAATTGTTAATTCAATGTCAATTTTTTTGCATTTCATTATAATTACTGTAATAATAAACATCATCATTTCTATTTAGTGTCAGTTTATCCCTTTTCCAGGGTTTGATTCTGACATTTGTTGTGAGTAAGAAAAGTCATCAAGCAGGTCACACCCACCTTGCAGCAGAAAATGACACTCAGATCAGTTGTCGCATTCTTCGAAAATTATTCTAAAAGAACGTTTCCTCTTGCAGATTTTATTGCATCCTGAAAAGTGGGCCAGTTATCCTAGCGATAGTGCTAACTGGGCCAGGGGACATTTGTGCAACAAATTTTAGAACATTTTGGTTACATTTGTGTGTGCTTTTTCTGCTCATTTCAGATTCACCTTGGCAGTGGCATATTTATCCCTACTTTCAAGTGGGAAATGTTACAGCTCCAGAAAAAAAACTCAATTTTTGTGAAAAATTTGGCAGTTTCTGTATGGGGTTGTGATGTCTTGAAAGCTAGATCTGTTGACGGCAAGATATGCCCACGTTATCCTGAATCTACTCCAAAACCACCATTAAAGGTGCAAACTGTTAAAAGTAAGCATTTTTAGTTGATTGTTGACAACAAGCTACCTGTGACCGATTAGTGGCCAATGTTTGACACTTTTTGCATGATTAAAGGGTCCATTTTGAATTTGTAGTACAGTATATAAGAAGAAACTATATACTGTTGATCAGAATTTTTATTATGGCTTTCCTCATCTCTCTTAGTAACTTAGAGCAAGCCTTGTGCTTGAAAAAAATAAGGGAAATCAAAATTCTTTTTATCGCAAGCAAGTGGTTATCTGTCTCTTGTTTACTTGTTTGAAATGCACAAAAATATTTGTAATTTTGCTGGATGAATGTTATTGTACAGTAGCACCTTTTTTTTAATTATATATAAGCATACAATCATGCAGATAAAAAAATACATTTTGGAAAATATTCTGAGTCGATCCATAAATTTCTTTCTTCTTTCTTGCTTTTCTTTTGTTTGTTTTATATTGTCGACTAAAAACTATTTTTAGATCATATAGTTTATTATTTAAATTAAAAAAATATAGTAATGTTTAACATTTTTTTAAAACTATTTTCAAATTTTTCTCTCAATCTAAAGTCAAAGTTTAGTTTGACCTGGACCATGCTAGAGTTTCATATGTTGACTATCTTCATTTAGGACTTTTATGAATAGACAATTTGATTGGAAGCAATATATCCAAAAACAATACTGTTTAATTATACAGTATGTCATTACAGGAAATTTACAAAAATGAGAGGAACTATTATAATGATTTTAAAAATGCATGATTCACTTCACGCTAATAAAAAAAACTTTTTGATTTTCATTTTTAGGATGTTATGTAGACCGACTGAAGACCATGCAATTAAGTACTGAAGAATTCAAATCTGAAGAGCGAAAGTTCAAGAAGTACCTTACTGAAAAGATAATGGATTTGAATAGAAAGAAATAATAGAACAAAACCTTGATATACACAGCACTTTTCACTTTAATGGCAACTGACCCAACCTGATGTTTGTATTACAGTATTTTGAAGCGACTGACGTCAAGTCACTTATGTTACACAATTAAAGTTTTTAATTAAAATGCGTATGTTTAAAATGTTGGTTGCAAATTATTTATTTCTGTATAGATTGTCCAAATAAGTTCAGTATAAATAATGAGAAGTTTCCAGTGCATACAGCAAAAAGTGATTAAAAATACTACAGGGTAGTTTTTTACAAGCATTATTTATACAAACTGTAAAATCCACTTAAAATTATTTGCAGTGAAAAAATGGTTCTAAAGTACTGTACTGTAAACCAAAAAAACCTAGCTCAACTGGGTTCTACTATAAATTTTTAAATAATAATAATATCACGAATTTATATGGCACCAATTCCAAGAACAGCCACCGGAAAAAAAATTAGGTCTTAAGCTGTGAATTAAAGTTTAAAACCCAGTTAAAACCAGTTGGTTTTATGGTTTGTATATCTTAAACTCTGTATTTTGTAAGCCTACAGGAATTTGATTAGAGCCATTGTTATTTTACAAAAAGGAGCTGAGACCAATTGAAGACCATTTGAAACTTTCACAAATTGAAGACCAGTTGGAACTGGGACCAATTGCAGACCAGTTGCAACTGGGACCAATTGAAGACCAGTTGGGACTGGAACCAATTAAAGACCAGTTGGGACTGGGACCAATTGAAACCAGTTGGAACTGGGACCAGTTGAAAGTGTCCAAAATCCAACTGGTTACAGTTCAAACTGGTCCAACTGGAATTTTTAACTGGGACCAGTTGGAAGTGTCCAATTTCCGTGACGGAAAATTACCAGTTCAACCGAGTTAAACCTAGTTCAACTGGGATCAACTGGAATTTAGACCTGGGCTGTCACCCAAGCAGAGAATTGTGCCAAGAAAGAATATCCAGGCTTTTTCCCAATTGTAAACTATCTTTCGTCTTCGTCAAAATTACATATACAGTATATATTCTTTATTGTCTTACTCGTATTAAAAATACAATTTCGAAAATTGACTTGCTTGGGACGAAAAACAAAGCAAACAACCATACAATTAAGCAACACAATATGATAAATAGCCCATTATACAATAAAATCAATGACACAAAAATAAGCAAATTTCGCTCAAAATGTTAAAATTTTAAAATATAATATAGTGGAACACACATAAAATATATAAAATGAGTGTTAAAATGTGAAAAGGGTTAAAAAAAAGGTATAAAGTATCATGGTAAAATTTTTAATTTGTTGAAAATTTGTATTTAAAAAAGCATTGTTTCATGGGAACTGCAGCTTTACCTAGTCCATCTGTCATTGTACTTTCACATGGCAGAAGGGAAGAACGAATTTCTATTCATCTTAAAGATGTTTTGTTTTTATCCTGGGATACTGTAGAGAATTCTTCCAGTTCTGCTAAACGTAACACAGCGATTTAGAGGGCGGTGTGTATCTGACGCTATTTCTTTTCTATAGAATTATTACATATTTCTTAATGGTTTTAACATTAACACCAATTATATTGCTAGCTGTTTTTAATATTTTCTTCAATTTCCTTAAATTTTCATCTATTAAACCATTGAACCAGGCTATTGCACAGAAGGTAATGATGGATTGGATAATAGATTGATAAAATAGTGACATTCTTTTGTGTTTTAATTCAAACACTGCTTTATTGCATCATCACTTCATTCTGTACCATAATATTATAACATTTTAAATGTCATAATCATGTTGTATGATAGTAATTGTTATTGTCGTGATGGAATAATAAACAATAACTGGATTTTTTTTTCGCAGTTGTTTTCAAATGTACTGAGTATTCGGTACATTTCCACGTCAGGTATGGCAAAAATTACACCTATACATGTTTCTCCTGATGCAAATCCAGTTATTGTTTATTATCCCATCACGACAATAACAATTACTATCAACACTGCAGTACCCGCCGCTTACTTGGACTCGAATTCAACCCTGGCCATCAGGCGCAAGCTCGGTGGTCTAGAGGTATGATGCCAGGCTAGTGATCTGGAGATCGTGGGTTCGAGTCCCACCCGAGAACAACTTGCGATTTTTTTCGCTGTTGTTTTCAAATGTACTGAGTATTCGGTACATTTCCACGTCAGGTAGGGCAAAAATTACACCTATACATGTTGTATGAGTTGACAAAAACTTAAATTTTATTAGGAAATTCATTGTTGAAATTATAATTTAAAATAGACAAATAATTTTAGAAGTGTTCTTTCTGAAAATATTTTTTGATGAGAATTTGCAAAAATGACATTGAAAAAAAGCCTCAAAAGGAAAAAAATTGAGCAATAGTATCAATGAGCATGAGTTAATAGTAATAGCTGTGGTTGTCATACTTTTATGGTCAGAAATTTGAAATTGTAAAGTCCTTGACTAACTGAAACACACTCTCAGCTCTGTGTCTAGTAGTCGGTCAGGATGTACAACAGTTATCTACTGATGTATATGCATTCCTATGCTATTATTAACAAAAATGAGTTGGCCATGTTTTGTGTGACAAACAGCTGTGCATGTTAGTAAGCCAACTTAATCTTTCTCGACAGCGGTTACACTTTTAATACCATGCATCGATACTATACAGTAAGTTAATGTACTGGCAGGCTAATGATTTTAGTTTCAGGAAATGGCAATTAGACTGCCTTTGTAATAACTTCATTATTGTAATTTGAAAATGTGTAATGTACTGTACTGTCAGACTCTGGAGCAAAATTTTTGTTGATATGTTGCAGAACACACAAATTCACAAAAACTTATGTACATGTTCTATTTTTGAAAGATTTGCATTTATTCATTCATTCACAATTAGTGTTTTAAATTAGTTGGCCTATTGTGTGTGGAGTTAATAATAATATATAATTTTTGAGAGTTTTGGTTTCTTCCTTGATATAGAATGATGTCATTGTTTTGATATGAAATTATTAACATTTATGAATTTTTTATTTTCAATCAGAATTAAACTGTATAAAGAAAACTTCCATATAAATCTGTTTAAAAAATCAGTATGTAATACAAATCTTCAAAATGTTTACATACTATTTCTAAAGGAGCCACAAAATCTCAAAAGCATATGTAATTGTTCTGTTTTTGAAAGATTTGCATTTATTCATTCATTCACAATTAGTGTTTTAAATTAGTAGGCCTATTGTGCGTGGAGTTAATAATAATATATAATTTTTGAGAGTTTTGGTTTCTTCCTTGATATAGAATGATGTCATTGTTTTGATATGAAATTATTAACATTTATGAATTTTTTATTTTCAATCATAATTAAACTGTATAAAAAAAACTTCCATATAAATCTGTTTAAAAAATCAGTATGTAATACAAATCTTCAAAATGTTTACATACTATTTCTAAAGGAGCCACAAAATCTCAAAAGCATATGTAATTGTTCTGTTTTTGAAAGATTTGCATTTATTCATTCATTCACAATTAGTGTTTTAAATCAGTAGGCCTATTGTGTGTGGAGTTATAATAATAATATGTAATTTTTGAGAGTTTCGGTTTCTTCCTTGATACAACAGTTATGATATCATTGTTTTGATATGAAATTGTTAACATTTATGACTTTATTTTCAATCAGTTATAAACTGTACAAAAAATATAAAATTCCATATAAATCTGTTTAAAAAATCAGTATGTAATACAAATCTTCAAAAAATGTTTACATACTATTTCTAAAGGAGCTCATATAATTTAAAATACAGTAACATTAAAATTTAATTGAATAGAGTCCTTAATGATCTTCTCCAGCTGGATGGACCACCCTCACAACATATTGTTGGAAATCAATCAGTCAATCAATTTTAACTAGTTTTAGGCCTTCATAATTTGTTAAATGAAATAAATGTAAAATAAAAAAAAGAAAAATCTGAAAATTCATTATAATCCATAAACCATGCCTATTAATGTCAAATCAAAATGTAACTATTAAAAATTAAGCTATTTCAAAGAAGAAAAAGAAAAAAAAATAAAATTATAATAATAATTAAATATGTTGCTAATAATTTGAAAGTAAAAAAAGTTTGGATTGATACTTCATTACTAATCTACCCGCTTTGTGTCAAACCCTATAATAGTGATGCTTGTAATAACTGTTGTACAGTATGAGTAACTCATAATGTTTAATTGAGAACTGTATATTAGGCCTAGTAAACACATATTGGTCATAGTCCAAGAATAGCTACATGACAAAGCCCCATTGGAATTTTCTAGTGTTGCGTTCTGTAGTCTTGCATTCTGTGTTGCTACTGACCGAAACCATGTATTGGTTAAGTGACTGCTGACTGTCTGTGATGTAACTAGGCATGCATGATGGTGGGAGAGGGTTAAGAGTCTTATCCTGAGAGGAGGAAGTCCTTCTGCATAACATGCATGGAATGGCATGGATATGACAATCCACATCAGTCATTGACACAATAATTTAATGATTGAAGTATATCTTTGAGGGTTTTATTTTCATAATTTATCACAGGCTGGATATCTTTACGAAAACTAATATTTTAAATTACAATAATGATGGGAACGGCTAAAAATGTATCAGTGCATCTCTACTACCGACAAAGCAGTTGATTAACATATTATTATCTTGTGTCTGCTCAAAATGTGAAAGTAATATGCTTTTAATATTTGACATGTGCTAAATAGATCACATTAAATGTACAGAATGGCGCGTGCCCTACAGTTGTTATAACTCCCTCGAGCATATTATTATTATTTGTCCTGACTATTCCTTGACAACAATGAATCTTGTTGAAGCGAATCTATGTTCAAGTTAGAGTAACCATAATTGGTATTGAGTAAAGACCGAAACCTTCATTAATGGAAGGTTGTATATAATTAGGAAGTGGTTAACAAATAGAAAACCAGATGATGACAAGTGGCCAATGAGATTGCATGTGTCATGTCAAAGCAATCAGCACCTAGACAAATCATACTGCAATTAAATGGATATGATGGTATGCTCATTAACTGATCAGTGTAGAAAAGATCCTTGGTAGACCTATACTGTATATGCATCCTATATTTATAATCTATATGTGCATGCATGGACAGATATGATTCTGTCTTCCAGTTTTGGTTTTTCTCCCTTTCAGTGGTGCTATACATACAGTATCTATCCTGTAGACAGAATTTTTGAAAACTGAAGGCCACATGCGTTCTTGACATTTCCAATATTCTTGTAAAAACGTTCATGCACCAATTTATAACAAGGAGTTTGGTATACACATAGGGTTATTGATTTATTTGCGTGAGCTACACACCATGCATTTTATCGGGTTTATTTTGAAACAGCGCCGCCAACATCTTGCAACTTTTTCTCTGACTTCCATTAGCCTAGCCTGAGCAAATTTAATTTTTCCAGGCACATATGTCTCTTTTTGAATACTTTGACAACCAAAAACACTACAGGTTTTATGTGCCCCTATTTTCTTTTCTTTTTTTTTAATTTTGGCATTTTGTTTTCAAAGAATAGCCTAGGCTACAACAAGAAGGTCGTTCACCGGCCACAGCACAGATAAACACTGGTAAATACGTAGAGGTAAATAGTAGAGGTAAATATGTAAAGCGAAAGTGCCTAGCCTGTGGAAGTCCCCCAGTGGTCGTTGCCAGGTTCTCAGAAATTTTCATTTCAAATTTAGCAAAAATGATGTATAGGATAGTAAAACAGGAAACATACTGCATCAAAATTGCCGACGAGCTACATGTGTCCCACAGGCTACACTTTGCCCATCTGTGCAGAGATCTCCATACATCAATACAACATTGCAAACTAATCTACAGGATCAGATCTTTAGTGACACAGGAAATATACTGTGAAATGCATCCCGTGGTTTACATTCCAAAGGGAACAATATGTATTTCTCAAACTACTGTACTATCATACATCTTTAAATACACACAGGTATGCTGGTATGTTGGCTTAACAGGCCAAAAACTATAGGACATTTTGTTATACTTTTGCTACCTAAATGCACCTTTTCATTGTTTAACCTGATTTATTATTGAATATAAGAACACTCAACGACTGTACACTTTTTAACTGAATAAAATTATTTTTAATATTCAAATGCGAGTGGTTTAAAATATTTAAAGTGACCATTATAGTTTTTAATCGAATAGGGATTTAGTTCCAGATTCTCAATTTTTCGCACCCCCAGCTGGGCAAATCATAGGCCTAGACCCCTGCCACATGTTACACAGATTGAAGCTTGTCCACTCATGGTAGCACAGTCAATCATGATGAACTGTATTATGTCAGAGCTACAACTTAAAACCAGGAAAAAAAAACTAGTAATAATAATTAAAGTACATTTTAGAGTATTTAATTGTTGATTTCTATAGAATTTATTTATATTTTATATTTCCTCTCTGAAAATATAACAATATAGGATAGTTATATTTCAAGGCCAGCCAGGTCATGCCAATATACTATCTTATTTTATCTACATCCAGAACTAAAAAAACATGTTAACATATTAAGCATATAAGGCCAAAAGAAAGTTTGTAAAAATTGCTTTAAAGCCCAATTTTAACGTTGCCTTTTTTAATAAGCAAAAACCAAAAATGAAAATGATGTTTGAAATAGGGCTTTAATTTTATACCTTAATCATGGAATTAGTCACGGTTATCATTTACTTTACTATAAACTGGAATGCATGAGATGAGTAATGGCCAGTTTATGTTCTCTATCACCTGACCGAAAAACTGACTCTAAATTGTTTCAGTGTTTCCAACACAATATTCTTTATTTGATCTAAAAAATATTTCATTCATAAACACTCAGTACAGTACAGTACAACTCATTAAACATGCCTATGATAACTTTGAAGTGATCTATTAACAGCTCTTCTAAATGTATCCTTGACATTTAAAATCATCTCTGGAATACTGTATATACCAGTAGTACCTAATGCCTAGGATACTTAAATCACCAGCATCATTTAGTAAATATAGAATTCTATTTTCACTTTTTGCTGTCAATTGTTAGACATATAGTATACAGGTCAGTTTAATGGTATTAAATAATATTTTTCCAATTTGATGTTTCAGCAAAAATGTAGTTTTAAGGTTTATGGTAAATTTAATACTTTCATATTAATAAATGAGTATGTATATACAGGTATGTACCTGTTCATATGGTACTATTTCAGGAAATTTGGAACTTATCAGTAGGCCCTATATTTCTTAAGGCAGTTTCCTGATACATACTTTTCTAACGTAATTTCAAAATGATCACCCTCTGGTACTACTCAAACAAGGAACTAAATTCGACAACCAAAATAAAGCTTTTAATTGTGGTCTGGGATGCACCTCAATATATACTATTAATCTTCCATTTTAATATTTGGTACCAGTATCTTTATTTTGTAGTAACTCCTCACATTTTATCAACACTGGTACTCAACTAAGAACTAAATTCAAAAACCATATTAAAGTTTATATTGTGATCCTGTTTGTTACCTCAATATATATAAATCACTCATTTAAATATTTGGTAGGTCCTTATTTTGTAGCAACTCCTGAAATTGTTTCAACATTGAGTGATTGTAAGTTCTCTTTTGTTATATATGCTTTTATCCTTATTTCATTGTAGTCTATAGGAATTTTAATATCATATTCATATGTGTTTCTACAGTTAATAAAGTAATCCTATGTCATGGAATTTGAACATAACTTTTTCAGGAAGTTATGGAAATCAGCATATGTCATAAACTTATGGAAAATGAATATTTAAGATAATGAGAAAATAATTACCTAGTATTTTATGTCACATATGCCTCAGTATATATCAGTAGTATATGTTGAATAATTGCAAACATGGATAATGGCATTATAAAAGCCTCTAGACTTTACAGTTATCCTTTATGTTGAATTCATTATTATAGGATTTTTTTAAATAGTTTAAGGGTGAAAACAACAGAATATAGAACCTTGGAATTTGATTTTGCCATAGGAGCAGAAATCAGATATAACAAATAATCATCCTCATGACTTTCAACATCTGTAGGTTTCTGATAGTTTTGCTTCGGGAAAAAAAAGAAGTCAATAATAAAGGCAATAAAAATGATGTAAGAAGGCCCAATAAACAATTTTTAAATTGGTCTAAATATTCAAATGTTATGCGTGTATATGTATTTAATCATATACTGTAGTACTTGAGTGGCCTAGCCGTTAAATATTAATGATTTAATGGAAACTTAGTGATTAAGATCTGCTGATTGTAAATGCATGAGTGAATGTTAAGTGGTAAAGACAACAATGTCATGTTTTGAGTATTGTATAGAAATCATAATCTCAAACACCTACATTTCAATTTACTTGTTAATGTGTTTTATTATTATTTGTTTAAAGACAGTTATGTGATAATTGAGTAATACAATTTGAGAGGATTTAATAAAAGACTTGATTATTATACTATTTTACAATTGATGGACATTTGCTATGATTACTAGGAATTGTTGCTATACACCATTTTATCGGGTCTATTTTGAAACAGCGCCACCAATGTCTCGCAACTTTTCACTGGGGCATCCAGCCGCCTAGCCTGAGCAGCTGGCTAGTTGTGAGTAGAGCACCGCGCAGCGGATAGCATCAATAGTCCCTCGACAATGCTATAGCAGCAGTAGCAGGTGACAGATATGATCTTTTGCTAATTACTGTATGTAATTAATATCAACATTTCTTTCCATTTTAAAATATTTGTGCCCGTTATTAATTTAGTTTTGTCGTTTATTAATCCATGATGGTAACTACATAGAGCAAAATGCTAGGG